CAAGGTGCGGCGAGTGTGACGTGTGACACCGACCTCGGAAATTCCTTTACACTTTAAATGCATTGAATATGTATAGTATACAATTCGAAAAAGTACGTGTGCCATTCGATTCGAAGTTTATCTATTTCGGGGATTGGTATTGCGCGAATTCTGGAGCTCCATTTCGAAAACTTTTCACAATACTATACTGTGAGCAAAAAATTTCCTGGGATGGATTAAAGAGGGGTCTAATTAGGATAGACATCACGTTCGTCAAGTCGATAGAGAACTGTGTTAACATTAGAAACGTACTTGTTTATGGACATCACAACCGCGGTGGTTGTGGTTTACCAGTATTGACAATGGTGTTGGAGTTGGATGGTTCTCTGGGTGTGTGGTGTATGCTGGGGCTACAGGCGGAGGATCAGTAGCTGAAGTAGTGGTATCATCCCAATCAGTGCTCTCTGCTAAGAACGCCGAGATGAGTCAGTCTAAAATAACAGACTCCTTTTAGCTGTAAACCTCAATTGCGAACTTGTCTTCGAGCGTAATAAACCTATGTGGACCGGGGCACTGTGCTTGGGGAGGTATGTGGGTACTGCCTACACAAAGGAAGATGTACGTGTAACGTGTAAGGTATTTCGTTATGTAGACAGGTACTATTTGCTGTCATATAGCAGCATGCACCTCGCATATGCATTGTGCGAAAGCTGCATAGTTCAAGCTACGTTAGGGTGAAACACATTCACCTCAGAGACGCAACGTGCCACCAAAATCCAGTGCAGCCGGTGTAGCGTGCAAGTCAACTTTTATCGTATACCGAATACCCAACGGAACAGTTGGAAGGGCCTCGTGCAATGCTGCACAGTGGTGATCCTTGTTTCGGTTTCAATTTTATCAACCATTTACCATGTATTTTCATGCACCGGTTTTCGGTGGTACTGAACCAGACAATAGTATAGCCCCTCCCAGACAGCTTTTGTAAGGCCGCGGTCTCCTCTGTGAAGGTGTACACATATATAAACCGTGAAATAACTTCAAAGTCCAACTAACGTCGGATTTCCTCAAATTCTCTTCATCTGTTACACACTGATGATGTTGTCTAGCTTGGCTACTAAACGTCTGCAAACGATACTTTCAGCTCGAGGAACTCACCAACACCAACGACCATCCTAGTGTTTCATGACGTCAAAACGGCTGTGGTTTTATCGGACCTCTCTCCAGATAGGTCCAACTCTTGCCCAACTCGTATATTCTTACTAAATTTGTAAAGATTTTGAGTTTATCAACGGTCAGTAAAGTTTGATTCACTGTATTTCAATATACAATGGTAATGGAGTAATAGTTTACTAGCATCTCTATCTTGAAGGTGCTATATCGAAAAACTCGTGGACGTGTGAGGGCCTGTGATAAACGTTCTCCATTGTTCGCTGATCACCGTATCGTACGCCGAGGTTAAAGATGTCACTACTAATGCTCACTGTCATCTTGAGAACGGCGATGTAGAACTACACTAAAGTCGCAATATTGTTGGTTTACAATATGCGGTTGATGACATTGAGCTCTCAACCACTACCATACATCTTGACACTCTTGACAATTGAAGTTTCTCGATATGGTATGTGTTGTTTGCCCTCGAAATCAAAAGCATTGCCACAAT